GTGAGATTCCCCAAATAAGTGAAGTTGCTTTCTTCATGATGCTAGCCGAGATACCATTGTCGTTCGAAATTCTGAGCGGCAACTTATCTTTTTGTCCTTAGCCAAGTTTTGTAGTAGAGCGCACTCGTAAAGCAGCCAAATCTCTTGACTTCTTTTGTACCGCACCGATTTTGAGTTTTCTCCTCTTAAGTTCAAATACCCGCCTTGTTTTGCCTGAATCGTAAATCTTTTCAGCTAAATCTAATTTTCCTCTTTATCTTGCCGCATAACTTTATTTGCATTCTTTTCTTCTCCAATTTAATCTTTACCGTGAATATCGTGCAGCACTATTACTGTTGTCTAATCTAATGATATTATACGTGTTGAAGGATGCTTCCTCTTCACTAAATGCATAGTGTTAGCAGGCTAATTTTAGAGTAGGACGTCGCATTTTCTCTGAAGTATTATACGGCCATGCTAAGGAAAAACTCCGTATGAACATTCGAGAGGTGGCAACTTTCCTTCGATAAAATATTTATTTTTGAGGAAAGTTATGAATAATATTCCTTGAAATTTCCAGGAGCTTATTATCTGAAAATTTGGAAGAAAAATATTCACAAATTTTCAGGAAAATTTGTGATTTACCAGAGGTAATTTGGCAACGCCTGAAGGTTCATACGACTTTTTTCATTAGCACGGTAGCATAGGAAAACCTCATTACCGATTTTTTTTCTCTAGACTGGTAGTTACTCATAATACATTAAATAAATTTTTCCCTTAAAATCTTGACTACCCCGCACATTCGTCACAATGAAAATTGGACCGTTTGGAGGGATGGACATTTTTCAGTGGTAACAGAGCAATAAGACTGGGTGCTCATGCCATTAATCTGGAAAGAAGAACGTGAGGGAGGCTTTATTCAAATATTCGGATGTAAGGAGGAGATTTTCTTAATGCCTCCGATGTTAAGGAGAAGGGTTTCAGGAACACTCAGCTGATAAGAACCCACGATTTGCGGAAGTATAATAGAGGGGAACCACGATTCTAACAGAAGATTAATGCATTTTCATCGCCCTGGGGGCGTTTAAAAATATGGAACTTTTTATTGGGTACTAAACGTCCAATTTTTAAATCATCAGACCCTTATTTTTTCAATTACTCTCATTATTATTCGTTTTATAGGCACAGAGGAAATGATTTTATGAATGGAATGAGGGACTGTGATAATTTCTAAAAAAAATTTTGTAGGAGTTTTCTTTTCCTTTTGGCTGCTCATCTCAGTTTTGAAGAAACATATTTTACGTGGTTAGATTCCATCAAATGATGTACCAAAAAATGAAAGTGTTCTTCCAAAAGAAAAACAATGCTCATGATCTTGTTAAGTTCATGGATAAAATACCTATCAATCGACTAGAAATCTCAAATTGCGAAGTAGCCTACGGGTTAAATCTCGTCATTTCAAAATACGTCCTCTTAAGATTTATTTTAATAAAAAAATGTGCGACTTATTGGGGTTACCCACACACTGCTGATATTGCAGTAGAATTTATCTTTAGACCCGCATATTTTGCAGTTACAGGAAATACAATTTCTGACTCACCCGTATAAACGTTTATGTGCATACGTAAAATAATGATAATCAGGGCTGGATTAAAGGGGTGCAAATTTTGCGATTTTTCAAAGTAAAGGTATAAAGCAAATCGGATTCAAAAAAAAATACAAACAAGAAAAGCCGACAAAATCTTTCATTTCCTGAGAGTACAGTAATTTCGCATTGCGTCAAACACAGTGCGTTCAGCACCGCTCGACGTGAAACGCAATGCGCCTACAAGACTGCAGGAATACTTCACGCATTGCGTCAAAAACAGTGCGGTCAGCAGCGGTCGACGCGAAACGCATAGCGCCTACAAGACTGTAGAAATACTTCACGCATTGCGCAAAACACAGTTAAAATTATTAAAGCATATTTATGTTAGTTCTTTCATAATTTTTTCGTTCATTTCTTATAGATGGAGGGCCTTGTCCACACAGAGATAGGTTTACGGAATTTAACTTTCGCGCAAAGTTTCGTGAAATTTTGCTGGTACTGTTGACATAGGGCTTTCGCAAAAAATGTATTCAACACGAGTAAACGCGTCTTATGCACCCTTCCCCCGCTGGCACGTTCAATTGATGGTTTTTAATGATGTCTCAAAAGGAATGAGAAGGGGGCGGCAAAATACAGGCGGCCCATGGGTGGCAAGAAGGTGAATCCGGCTCTGATGATAATACGTAATACGGTTTAATTCATGTGTTTTTTTTAGCCTTGACCCTGTACTTTGTGTTCATTGTACGTAGATAATGATAAATACGTAGTTTCTAAACCGAACTAGAAATTTTAGTTCCTATTTCAAAACGTAGTTCAATTGGAAATGGCATCATAATTGTTTTGCGCACTCACTGATTTTTCGCACCTCTAGTTTTTTCCCGGAAGTGTGAATTTCACTTTATGAATGGAACCATTCTGTCCATTTAAATTAAAGAGGTTTTTTTCCTTTTTTCTTCTTCTTCTTCTTTTCGCTTTCAATCTCGACGGCTCTCTTTGGTACTACGGCCGTGCAGTCCGTTAGCGTGAGAGTTTTCGCAAAAACCCTAACGCAACGAGCTCTTCACTGGCCGCTCGTCGATGAACAAGCGCGCGTAAGCGAAGAAATACGGCCCCGTTTATTAATGAACCACCGCGGGAACCTTCGACAAACACAAAAAGTACATTACGAGTAACAAAATGCTCGCGAGTTATATCAAAGGGAAAAGGCTGCGGGAGCGGCGAGCCCCACACAATAATCAAGATGTATGTGCAGTACGTTTTTCTGCCTCTGCCGTTGAACAACCGACCGCCATCGAGCCCGCTGCACTCAACGATAAGTTCGCAAAAGTTCCCTGTTAGCTCGGGGTAAACTCAAATAAATACCAACGGATGAAGGAATAAATGCGGCTCGTCGACTCTATACCTAACGCGGTAGAAAACTCCTGGGATTATTACTGATGAAGAGAGTAAGGGTGCCGTTCATAAATACGTAACGCTAAATTTCGGATTTCCGATATCCCCTCCCCCTCCCTCCTCATCGAAAAGCTTTTGTGACGTAGGTAACACGTCATCGGTTTATCCTTTAACATGTAAAAGCAAAACGCCGTAACGCTGTCCTCGATCCCTCTCCCCCCTGTCTAGATTTTTATGTATTTTATAAAAATTCCGCATTATGCATCTGGAGGCCCAATTTATAATCGGCCCTTGAGATGAAACTACCCTTATGTATACCTTTACAATGTGAATCAATAGGAGGTATTTGAATCAGTAAAATTACAGGGTAATTTTCTAATCGATTTTGTATTTTTTTAGTGCAATAGTAAAAACTGTTTCCATTCAATTTGTATTGTTAGTGAACTATAACTGATGGATAGGAATCTTCAACTTTGACAGAATCTGAAGGTAGATTCGGGTAAAAATGAGGAAAACAGTCGGTAATTTTACAATGTTCTCGATAGTTTCACAAGCCTTCTCCACCAAATGCATGCAGCAGAATTCAAGAGGATGCAATGAATTTAGCGACACGTGTTGATTCCAGGAATATTCAGTGGTATAGATTACTACCAGAAACATTAATTCATTTTGCCTCTTTTTTTCTAAGTAAATGAGATTACCTCTCGCTTTTCATCAGCTTACACTCTTATTTCGGTTTTATTTCGAACATCTATCGTCATAGGCTGATCCAGACACTTAGAATGAGGGGAGGGGGACGTAAGGAGGGCCCGGGCCCTGCACTCCCCTCCTGGATCCGCCTATGTCTATCGTGCGACGTGTTTTTGGCAAACATTTGAATGTATAGTTTCAATTTGCTTGAAAGTCTATTGTTTCTACTCACTAACAGCTTTTATTTATTAATGAGCTTAATACCTCGTACGGTTTCACCTAAAGTGTGCCAAATTATGTAAAGTCTAAACGAACTTGAGAGCTTATATGCACGCCGTACGAAAGCTCGACAGTTTGAACGGTAGCTCCCCTAAAGTTTTCTCCATTCTTCATTGAGGTGTCAGGTGGGGTCCCCAGAGAGAATAATAATACAGCAAATTGCGTGAATAATTCACAGCCGTATATTAAATTATGGACTCCGCTTTACTCCCTTCGATATCGCACCCCCCTCTTTACCCCCTTTTGATGTCTTGCTTCCACCTAGAGCTGGATATGTGTTGCGAGCTTTTAACACGCATTTGACGAACCTCCTAGTTTCCAATTTCTTGAGTGCCTTTACCTTGAAAGTTTTGAAATTCTGCAAGGCTGAGTAGAATATACTTATGTTTGCTTGAAGTTTTGGACAATTTTGATGCACGCCGAGCGGATAATGAGCTTTCAATGAAAGTTGATTACATTTTTTATTCGACTGAAATTCTTTTAAAAGTTATTCGAAACAAACATGTACTGATTGTTTTTTTTATTTTATGTAATTCATTTTCATTAAAAATCTCGCAGTAATTGTTGAATTTTAATTATTTTTGCATGTAGGTAGTTTTCGTCTCTAATGTACCTATAGTTTTAACATCTTTTATACTTTGTGATTCACGGACGGAGTCATATGGCACTAGTAATCATTAATTTCAATTCGGTTGACTTTTTTCCAAGTGTCGATGTTCATCGAGAAAAGACGTCAGTCTACGAACACTCAAAATCGAGTCACGGACACCAGAGCTTACAAAGTATATTGTTCTGCAAACACTTGCCTCGACGTGGATTTGAATTTCCGCACCAACATTCTAAACATAATTGTGGCTCTTTTTTCACGTGAAAAGACTGCTAGTCGATTCAAAACCAATAAAACTACTAATATGTCTATGGAGACGGAGGTTTTCCTTACAGTACGTAACACACTCAGTGAAAAAAGATGTATGCAATATACTTTTGCATGCTGATAAATAAATCTGAAATTGAAGTTTAAAATCAAATCCAACGTTCATCTGATTGGTCAATTTGCTTTTTATGTTGACAGTGTGAAAACATCCAGGCGTGCCTGTGCTTCCTGGAGCAGCTTGGGATAGCGCTGGATGGCATCAACGTTCGGGAGGTGCGAGAGGGAAACCTTAAAGCCATTCTGGGCCTCATTTTCGGTCTGTCCGTTCACAAGCAGCGTCAGAAGCAACAGCAGCAGCAGCAGTCGCCACAGCACCAACAAACTCCACCGCCGGTCCAACATGTCGCCGTCGAGAGGGACAAAGCCCAAAGGCACTCCGCATCTGGTCAAGAATCCGGCCTCACAAAGTGAGTCTATTATCAGATCTGGGATTTTAAGGGTCAGACAATCAAACTTTTAACAAACTTTGAAAATGAAAAAGTTTGATGACTAAAGCTCGCCAGCTACTGACAAAACTCAGGCAGGCCGCTGATATTTTTAGGTTCTCAGAGGGGCGTGACTCGAAGTATTGTCAATGATCATCTTTCTGGCTTTATGGGAGCGCGACATCGTTAAAATTAACGATTTTTATAATCTGCCGCCACTCAATTTCCTCTCAATTTGTTCACAATTTGATTGGTCGGACCGAACTTTTATATTCACACCTCTAACTATTCGGCGAAAAAAAACCCAAGTACGTCGGTGTTTCCAGGATTGATCAAGTAATAGTGGGTATGCGTACAATTTATGGTTTATACTATAAAAAATTGCGGTGGAACTACGAATTTTTATTAGTGACGTCACTTTCCTGCCCTTTTTTCTATCTTTTTGCAAGAAAATCGGTTGTAAAGATCTGTGCGATTTTGCTCAGACCACCACAGAATACTCCCGGAAAATCTATAAGTTGGTAAGCTTTCGAAAAAGTAAAGTGAAATTGGACACTTTGGAACATCGCATATATGATTTATGTGCGTATACTTTCATTTTATTAATTTATTGATACAAATACCATAAATATTCAGAGGGATGAAAATAGTTTGATCAACCCAACCCGTCCAAAAGTTTTACAAATCAACGGGGAACTACTAAAATAATAACATTTCGACCCCCAACAGATAAGTTCAAATAATTCCGGCCTTTCCATTCTAATTAAACTCTCGTAAAACGCTATATGTGCCGGTTGTTAATACTTAGCTGTCATAACCGCCCCTCTTACAACTGCTCGAGCGTCATCGTGACGATTGAATTATCGATCAGGATCCGCCCTAATTGATACACGGCACACGAGTCGAACCGGGGAGGAAGTTGACACTTCCCCATTTCGGCCAACACTCCCGAAATTAAGGCTCAATGAAAACCAAATTAAAGTGCGTCGGGGGAGGAGGCTCGGGCCGCGACACGGATCAATTTTCAGAGGGCGGTGGTGTCGTCATCGGTGCATCTCTGGTGTAATATGAGAACGAGAGTCTCCTTGGCGATGCGTGCGCTGGTGCGCGATTGACCTAAAAATTGGATTTTTTCTCGAATGGAGCGATGGTCGAGGGAAACGATTTTTCTAGAATTTTGCAACGAAGAATTTTCGAGGTCTGAGAAAAAAAAAATCAGTCACGTGTGATTCATGAGTTGTCGCATAAATCAGAAATTGGTTTTCATCGATAACGTGTTCAGTAATGAACTCTCGTGTATAGGTAAAAAAATTGCAGGATTCGAGTCATTGGAGCATGACCTAAGGACATATGTCCGTTGGATTTTTAAGGCCACCTCCTCCTGTCGTGGCCCCCTAGTTTCACTGTTTTTCATGACTACGACCAAGTTGGCGGTGGGATAAATGGGTTGGAGCGGGGTGGGGGGGGGGATTTTCCAGCGCGCTTAACAGTTTCCCTCACATTTTTTTAGCGCGCTTGAACAGACTCCCTCACATTTTTCAGCGCGTTTGAACAGTTTTCCTCATATTTCGTCGCTCTTCTGATGTAAAGGCGTATCTTGATTTACACACGTGCCTCGGAAAGCATAGAGTTATATGAAGAACAGATCCCACATAGAAATTAAATTACGTCCCTGCGTCAAAGGAGCGGTGATTTTTCAGCGCGCTTGAACAGTATTTCCTTCACATTTTTCGGCGGACTTGGAATTTCTTTACAAATTAAGCCGTACGCTCAACATTTTCCTTCACTGAAAGTAAGGCGCACTCAAAAATCTTATAAATTGCACCAAATAATATTACAAATAACCGAAATATTAAGTTAGTTATAAAAAACCACACAAACCCCTCCTTGTGGCCTTCAAAGTTTAAAAAAAACCTTTTTCGCGGCCTTTACATTTTAAAAACCCCGTTTCCGTGGCCCTCACATTTTAAAGACCCGGCCTTCACACTTAACCACCCTCTTTAGCAGCCTCCGCATTTCACAAATTCCTTTTCGGCTGCCCCTCATATTTTTATCGCTACCGACTGCGAAAAGAATGGTCATTCGATGGCGGGAACTTTCGAAAAAACCCTCAATAGGTACTCGGGACGGCGACGCAACAGAGGCGCGGGCAGAGCTCTGGCTGCGTGCTCTATGAAAAGCGGAGGCATGCTTAATAGAGCTCTAAGTGTAGTGACCCTCATATTATGTAGATGGAGACGCTCAGCTGTTTTATATCCGAGAGGGGAGAGGGTCCAGATAGGGTTGCGTTGCGTCGCCTTGGCGAGGGGAAGCTCTCGAGAAGGGAAGCAGCGTACTCTCCTCCTGGCTCTGTACTTACGCCTCTTTCATGCTCGCCGACCTCCAGTCAGTCATGTTTTGCCATGGGCAATTCCAGCAGTTCTCGTCCGAAAAAGAGTAAAAGTTACCCCAATACCCCCGAAGCTCGGAGGTGAGATTTTGTCTATCGTATCTTGTACTTGTCTATAATTGCCTCGGCCTTTGCACCTCGTAGAAAACGTCCAAATAAGCTCAAGTTTTCAGGAAAATCTGCTTTGTTGACATTTTATTGCGGGCTTTGTTTGGTGGAAAGTTCCTGTTTTTATGTGGTGGAAAGTATCCGGAACGAGCTTTTAAGCCTTTTTATTGCTCTGATTTTGTGCTCCGGTTATTGTCTGTGTTTTTGTCGCTGTCATCGTTCGTTTTTATTCGTATTTGTGATAATCTGTGGCTTTGTTATGATTGTATTGTGTATATATCACTTTTAGATAATGGTGTCCATTGAATCTGGCCCCTGGTCTATGGTCATCCAGTAATAGTATCACTGAAGTCGCTGTTTAGGGTCTGAAAGCTAGTTTGTTTACGGTGAAAACTCTTTCTCACACGTGTAGTAGTTTGTTTTGATGCACTTTGATAATTGATGAGGCGCACGTAGAGCAGAGGTGTGCCGGAGTGCGCCCTCTCTGACTGATTTAATTTGCATGTGTTTATTTGTTCATCGTATTTTCGGTATGTGTCCGAGAAAGTTGCATGTCATAAGGTTCTAAAAAATTAATATCCTTAGGTCCATTAATACCTTGCGATGCGCCTTGACTGTTCATAATAGGCAGAGCCTTATGTGGTAACTAAATGGAGTTATAGGTTATGTTTTCACGGAACCCATACTGTGCATAAATTCTACTAGAATTTCAGCACATGAGCGTCTCACTAAGGGTTGAATTTTTTACTCAAGTTTTTGATCAAAGTATAAGATACTCTGAATGCATTCATTTTTCGAGTAAATCCTTGAATTCCATTACCTATCGGAATTAATTAGATGTAATTCGTGAAGATTGCGCGGATGACAATTAATTATTACTCAAAACTCATCATGGGAAATATTTTCCTTCTCAGAGCATGTCTCCTTCAAAAATATGTTACAATTAACTTAATAAGACGTGCAAAAATTCAAATTCGATCCAGTTTGGCATGCACCTAATTCATAAAATCGGCGTGGATACCTGTTATAAAAAGTGATTCCAATCTTAACTTACCATGCATTTTTAGGTATACCACACACCACGGTTGCAAGTAAGAAGGTAACCAGTAAATCTATCGAATAAAAGTAGTGAAAGGCCGTTCATTAATTATGTTGGTTACTTTGAGAACTTTCAGACGTTAGTCTCGAATCCCAAAGCGCCGCCTAGAAAAGAACGTCTTACAGGTTAAGGAACCCGAGTTTTTCGAAAAACCATGAGGGAAGTGTACATTTTACTTCCTTGTTCCTTCCTCTCTTTTGCTCCTTAAAGAGGTTGTTCCATCCCCCATTAGATTTGGCCCCCTATCAAATATGATCCATCTTTTCAGGAGTGATACAGTAGCATGCGAGACGTTCAAATATGGCGGTCATTTTGACTTAGGCCCCCCCAGAGAGGGGGGGCGGGGGGTCAAAGACAAAACCTTCAACTGCCTATAACTTTTGAGCGAAAAATCGGATTGAGTTGAACTTTTTTTTAAATGAAAGATCTCAAAAAGATCTATCTGCTGATGCCGGAAAAATTGAAAAAAAGTTAAATTTTATGCAAATTTTTAGCAATTTTTCGATTTTTTAGGAGACAAAATTTTCAATTTTGTCGTGTTTCGGCACCGCGCAATGACTCTATTAAAATTCTACACTCAATTTTCTATAAGATGCAAAAAACCGCATCTTGGGGAAACGTTTAGATCGCGAGCTATGGCTCGTCAAAGTTAGCCCCGCACTGAGCGCGCGCCCCCTGCGCTGTACGCATATCCTCCACGCGTCTGCCACCGATCCTGTTGCCCCTCCTCCCCCATCCTAAATGCAAATTAACATTCTACTACCCAGCTTTCGTATATATCTGCGTTATAGGTACGTGAAAATCCAGCAAGTTCGTGATTTCCAGTGGAATTGATGCTTTATATCTCTCCCCCCCCCCAACCCGGCCACTGTGCTCCAAATATTGTGCGAAAAAGAATTATAAACATTTTCTTGTTACATGTTTTTGCTGATGTAGCACCCTGTGACTACGAAATCGAATTGAGGTAATTTTTTATGCCACCTCCCAACCTCCTTGTGTAACCTGTGTGTATCCTTGTGTAACTGCTTTCAATTCACTTAATAAATTACTTTTTTATACCTATTCTGTTCATTTTAGCGTGTAATCTAGAAAACAAATACCGCCAGTTAGACACAAGAAAAAACTATTACAACTTGTAGGCAGGGGCAAACTTCAGTGCCAGTGGCAGGGTGGGGGGGGGAGCGAAATAAAGTATCAATTCCACTGGAAATCACGAACTTGCTGAAATTTTCACGTACCTATAACGCAGATATATACGAAAGCTGGGTAGTAGAATGTTAATTTGCATTTAGTATGGGGGAGGAGGGGCAAAGGAGGTTGGGAGGTGGGATAAAAAATTACCTCAATTCGATTTCGTAGTCACAGGGTGCTACATCAGCAAAAACATGTAACAAAAAAATGTTTATAATTCTTTTTCGCACAATATTTGGAGCACAGTGGCCGGGTTGGGGGGGGGGAGAGATATNTGGTTTTTGTTTTAATAGAGTCATTGCGCGGTGCCGAAACACGACAAAATTGAAAATTTTGTCTCCTAAAAAATCGAAAAATTGCTAAAAATTTGCATAAAATTTAACTTTTTTTCAATTTTTCTGGCATCAGCAGATAGATCTTTTTGAGATCTTTCATTTAAAAAAAAGTTCAACTCAATCCGATTTTTCGCTCAAAAGTTATAGGCAGTTGAAGGTTTTGTCTTTGACCCCCCGCCCCCCCTCTCTGGGGGGGCCTAAGTCAAAATGACCGCCATATTTGAACGTCTCGCATGCTACTGTATCACTCCTGAAAAGATGGATCATATTTGATAGGGGGCCAAATCTAATGGGGGATGGAACAACCTCTTTCAGAACCGTAAGCGTTTTCGTTTCCAGCCTCGCGAAAAGCTCGGTATAACCGCTTCTGTTTTCTTTAAACACTTGCTAAGTAACTTTAGGCCCCCTTTTTTAAAGCACCTAATGTTCAAAAACTCATATATGTAATAATGTACAATGAGGCTAAAAACGACGTTGTCCCAGAGTCTGATGATGGATCAAAATGTTGAACCTCTTTTGCTCGATGCGAATATAAACCATCAGACTTTGTCATGTTTCCGCTGATACAGTACGAATTTCAGGGAAAAAGGAATTTTTTTTTCTATCAATTTCTTAAAGAAAATATCCAACTTGATCGGAAGTATCTGAAAAGATATTTGATTGGGTTCTTCCTGGGAGGAGATGAAGGGGTTGCTCAGTGAAAGGGTGGCAACAGGGGGTTTTAAACGAAATAAGGGAGTGCCAACTCCCTGACGAGTTGTGGGAGGATCGAGTTTTGTCAGGCATCGCAGAGCGCCAGACAACGTTATGAAAGCGACTCACACGTAGGTATCTGAATGAAGGTGTTGCATGTGTAAGGGATTTGCGATTTGACAGTTGATTCTAATGTAAAAGTTCGCGAGAAACACGATGGCGTCTCTGGTTTTCTCTAAAATTAACTCCCAAGCTCAAAAAAAGCTCTCAAGTTGAGGCCAAAATGGAGGGGATATCCCACGCTATCCTGAGAGTTCAGCTCTACATCAAGACGAACTCTCCATGCAAAGATAGGGAGTAAATACATTAGCAGTGATGTCGTGTTCTCAGTTTTAGAGTCCCCAAATAAATAGGCAGCCCTGTCAATGTATTTGCTCCCTATCTTTGCATGGAGAGTTTGTCTTGATGTAGAGGTGGACTCTCAGGATAGCGTGGGATATCCCCTCCATTTTGGCCTCAACTTGAGAGCTTTTTTTGAGCTTAGGAGTTGATTTCAGAGAAAACCAGTGGCACCATCGTGTTTCTCGCGAACTTTTACGTAAGAATCTACCGTCAAATCGCAAATTCCTCACACATGCAACATCTCCATTTCCCCCAAAAATAGATTGTTTGTAACGCGGGAACTTTGTCAACGTTTAAATTCCCGCACAGTATTCTTCCCCAGCATGGTTGTGCGAGTTTGTTTCTTTTCGCGTAGCTAGATTCAATTATACCGGCGTGTCAGATTGCGTGACGATAGCTAATAAAGTGCGTTCCCTTCCTCCGCGATGCATTCCTTCTCAAAAGCCGAGCCGCAACTAACGTGCGAAGAGCATCCAGAGAACAGAAAGCTTTGTAGAAAATTGCGCTTTCTACTTTGATCCGACGGGTGCGACGTCCCCTCGTTTGGAAGTGCCGTTTACGCTGAGCAGAATTTATCGTTCACGCGTAGTCATTACCTTCGATAGGGGTTTCAACCCTGAACTTTCCCAGGGACCCGAAACAAAGGCAAGAAATAAAGAAACTGTACGGTGCGGTTTGGGAGAGGAAAAACGCAGTCTTGTTCGTGATTCTCCGACCGTAACCCCATATAGGGTGTGATTCTCGATTTAAGAGAAATTCTCGCGATGTAGACCTAAAAACGTAACTTTTTTTTTAGATGAGCTTTAGCTCCCATTTAACTTAATGTTTTTCAGAGTTCACGTTAGGGTGAAGCTGCGTTATTTTGTTAGCCGAACGGGGAATTGGGGGCTTCTGAGTCGCGCGTGCCTCCTCGTGTCTCGACACGGGCTATCTTTTCACTCAAGGCGGTTAAGCCTCCAGAGACTCACATGTTATTTCGAGATTACTTCTCATCTTGCCACGAAGGAGCGCCTCTCCTCCACGCGCGAGAGATCGTAAATTTTGGTTCCGTCGCGAAGGAAACTATCAAGTTAACAGAAAGTACGCTCATCTTTGTCGTGTTAAGGAGAGAGGGAACGGTGTGACTACAAGGTTAGAATTTGAATTTTGGCATCCTGCCTCACAGGAGAACGTTTCGGTACAAAAAACGCCCACAGCTATAAACTGCATCTGTGATATGATGATTTAAAGTAATATATTCAGAGAGATACCAAACGTCAAGTATAGAACTAGAGAAAAGCCTCCATGCATCAACACTGGAAAAAAAACACATTGGATCTAGAGTCCAGACTCTTAAAAACATCGACAAGAAAAAATACTCTTGATTCAATCAGATTTAAGCTTAAATCAAGAACCAAGCCCCTTAATTTGAGCGGATTTCCTTTTGATTTAAGCTTAAATCTGATTGAATCAAGAGTCATTTTTATTGCAATGTTTTCAAGAGTCTGGACTCTAGATCCAATGTGTTTTTTTTTTTTTTTTTCCAGTGAATAGTTCGCTGCGTCCGAAGACTGCGTCTCAAACCATCAACAAATCTTTATCGGTAGAAGAAGATTTCCTCTTGCATTTAGAGTAAAATCGCTTGAATCAACCACGTTTCTGATAAATTTAAGCGATCTCTTCTAGATTTAGGAATCTTTTCCTGTTAACTTATTGGTGACAAATTCAAGAATTTTTCTGCTTAAGCAAAGGTATTTCTCTTTGCTGGGAGTGCCTTACAATCACCTAATTACTTCAAACTCGATCCTGACAGTGGTATAACACCTCCAATTTTTCTATTAAAGTGTCTATAATTCATCGTTCCCCCTCCGAAGGAACGTCAATTCAATGTTGCCAAATTTCCCCCAGCATGTCTCATTTTTACCTTGGGGTATTCCTAACTGAAAATTTATCTGATTTTTCTTTAGATCTCATGCAAAAGGCAGACAAATTTTGAACAAGACTTGCGCAGTTAAACTGTTGTAAAAAATTGGATTGTTTTAGTCAATTTTGCAACCTTGGAGTAGAGTTACCGAGAAAGACGAATTGACAGTAAAGGAGTCACATGAGAATCACACTCACTCCCAGATTTTTCGGGGACAGCAGTTGTCCCTATTATGAATTCAGAGAGCGGCATCGGAATTTGAAGTGGTGGATGTAAGCTTAAACGACATGTTTTTTATCTAAAAACCAATCCAGACGAAATTAAAAACTCACACATACATGCATTAAAGTCGTTCCTAAAACGCACTCTGGCGTTCTGCGACACCCAAACGCCACGTAAGCCTATCTTCCCAGAGCACTGGAAAAAAACCGCTTGGATCTAGAGTCCAGACTCTTGGAAACAATGACAGGAAAAAGTACTCTTGATTCAATCGGATTTTTGTTTAAATCAAGAACCCAGCCTCCTAAATTAAGCAGATTTACTTCTGATTCAAGTAAAAATCCGATTGAATCAAGAATATTTTTTCTTGTCATTATTTTCAAAAGTATGGACTCCAGATCCAAGCGTTTTTTTCCAGTGAGGTTATCAGGCAAATGACACCGCAACATCTCTTCGTCTTTAAAAATTTTAAAGTTACAGTCATGAATTTTATTTTCTTTCAGGCTTCCAAGTCCGTTCTACAACCACACGAACGACCCTGGATCGGGTTCCGGGAGTGGGATCCCTACTCCGGCGAGCACTGGCGCCAGGCCGAGCGCCATCGAACGCTTCAACGGACTCAACACCGGTGAGTAGAGAGCTTTTCATCGGCTTAATCGAATTAACTCCACTATTGTTTAGTAACGCGGGTCATGCTAATCGCCCCTCGCCATCGCTTTGGCTCAAAAGCTTCGGCTAATAGCTCCACTCACCAAGCAATAAATATGCACCCCGGTAGTCTATGTCATCGGAGTATCGATAACCATAATTCAGAGCTTTGTGTCCGAAGGTAATATATTCCACAGACTGTGCACTAACAATCAAAGCAGATTAACCCTGTAATCGGGTGAGACAAAGGTTAAATTCGGGGATCAACGCTACTTTTTGCTTGATGATGATGATGAGCAACTTGTTGGAAGTGTAACTCAAGTAATACCGATGACTCATGAAACATGAACATCGAGGAAAATACTTTGCTTGACGAGTTTCTACCACTATACCACTACTACAACTACTACCACTACTACAACAACTACTACTACTACTACTACTACTACCACTACTACTACTACTACTACTACTACTACTACTACTACTACTACTACTACTACTACTACTACTACTACTACTACTACTACTACTACTACCACTACTACCACTATCACTACCACTGCCACTACCAATACCACTACTAATACGAGGAATGGTCCATTTGCAGAGTTTCCAAATTACATTAATTTTCCCGATCTGCATATTAAAGTCGCGCGAAAATTTCGTAACGTCGCGATTATTGAGGAACATGCATGCTTTGGAATTCAGCGGGCTGAAAATTGAAATTGATAGACAAAGCTTATGTCTATACATAGAAAACATAAGGAACTTGGAGTGATCTTATCGACTGAAACGAGTAGTTATCATAGACTAAGGGGGAAATGATGAACTCACTACAGTCTCGGCTCTCGTGGGTTGCCGTTCTTAGTCTATTATTTTCCTCCTCGTCCATTGTAACTACCCACCCGCTTCCCCCAATAGGATCACTTTAGTTCCAGTAGCGTCTTCTTTGTCTACAGCTTTGTCTATCAATGTCAATAATCAGCCCGCTGTCATTAAAGAGTCGTTACGTTACGCGCATTGTGTCGGCGCGAAGATCTCCGCAGGATCGTCGGGAGATGCTCCGATAATTTATAGTCGCCAACATTGCACGTTGTTCGTCTCCGAGCGGAATGTTAAAAATGAAGAGAGGAAAACTCGTAAAAAAGCGGAATGAAAATATTATACCGTCTTCATGTAGACAAAGACCCCTCTGCAGCTCAAGAAAGCGGCTGCATCGCTCAAAATGAGAACGAGTAATTTATGATTTAATGTTGCACGATAGAATTGCAAGCGCCTCGGAGCGGGGATATAGGAAAAGACGAGGTTGACAGGTGGAAGATGACTGTGTATTATCGTGAAATTATAATTGAAGGATTTATTGAATGAACAAACTAGGAGCACAATGTTATATAACTCATTTTTATACCTAACTGATCCACTGGAAAAAAAAACACATTGGATCTAGAGTCCAGACTCTTAAAAACATCGACAAGAAAAAATACTCTTGATTCAATCAGATTTAAGCTTAAATCGAGAACCAAGCCTCTTAATTTAAGCGGATTTCTTTTTGATTTAAGCTTAAATCTGATTGAATCAAGAGTCCTTTTTCTCGTCAATTTTTTCAAGAGTCTGGACTCTAGATCCAATGTGTGTTTTTTTCCAGTGTCACTCAACTGTATCAGTAGAATGGACCACTAGACAAGGTACGAATTTAAGCGATCTGATACATGTGTCTTAACCAGAATTTCACGTAGAAAACGATTCACACAACGAAAATTACTGAAACCAACTCCTAACGGAGATATTAACGTTTTTATTTCACATTGGTTACGAGGAATTTGAGCTGCCCGCTCACAAGAAACTCAAAGCTCTACATAAGTCAAATCGCCCACTACAACGGTTTCAGCAAGCTTCTCAATCGAGCAATGTTCATTTCCCACCATGTGTTGTTCAAACTATTAGCAATTTGCTATAACTGAGCCAAAGCGTCAAGATTGAGGTTGCCAGATTTTTATATCGCAGAGACTGTCATGATAACGTTTAGCGCGCGATGTGAATCACGTAGAGCATTGAGTTTTCATGAGCGGGTGGTTTGAATTCACGCATAAAAAATCATTAAATATCTTCGTAAGGAGTTAATTTCGGTAATTTTCGTTGTGTGCATCGTGTTTTACGTAAAATTTTGGTTAAGAAACGTGTATCAGAATGCTGAAATTCGTACCTTATCTAATGGTCCATTGCTTACATTTTGTCGGATGATAATTCTTACATAGGCAAGTTTTACCAAACGGAAAATTGAAAGCATCATGAAACTCACAAGAAAGGATTTACGGATTAACCTTCCTCCCGAATCTGAGCGACACTACATTGGCAGCACACGCCTTTTTGGAGCATTGCGAGTTCACGCCTCGCGCCATCGCGCCTTCAATTTTGCAGACGCAAGACGGACATCCGTCAAGCACGAATAGTTGTATCTCTGCGCCGTCGCCAACGCACGTTCTTTCCCTTGAGGTTCAGTTACACGATCAAATTGAGCCATCAAACTGAAGCTCTGATTGGTGGAAAAAGACCTGAGGTGAGGATGCGACCAATGAGAGGCCCAATTTGATGGTTCAATTTGATCGTGTAACTGGACCTTTGCTCTATTTCCAACGGAGCCAGTTGATTCTTCGCACACCGACCAACTTGGTATGCGACATCAACTGTATGGGTGTTTCATACAAACTAGAGATGGATTACATCCATTTTACAATACAGTACTATAATTTTAGGCTCATTTTTGAGACAACATATGTGCCCGTACCGTCTCTATGCAGATGTGTAATGATATGGAATGAGCTAGAAATATAAATTCCCTATTGCAAAATTTAGCTCAGTTGTTATGTGGGTTGGTGAATAGAAACTTGTCAGTGTAAAAAAATCAATTTTATTAATATGGAGAACCAAACAGGGGTGCGTAAGAAAACGACCTATGCGCTAAGTAAATGTTAAGTCGTAGCGAAGAGAGTTTCCTCATTACAGCGTAATTTTTCCGGTTGGCGCAGCTAAAACAAAACAAAAAGTTGCATTGTTTGAAATAAAATTATGTATGAGCGATATGATATTCTGTACAGACCTGTATTTACCGACACATTTAAGTGTTTTTGTTACCATCATTAAGCCTCTGTTTTGCCATAAACGATAGATACAGTGGCTCACCTGGCGAATGAAGCTCCGTGAAATTTCGGACCCGTGTCGAGGGATCAGAAAACCCCATAAGTGATGAAGAAACCAGGTCTGGCGAAGCATTTCACGTCACAAGTATGGCGGACCCGTTACCGCGTAAAAACGACCGTTTTAAATCGGTCGGTTCCAAAAACAGCTTTTTCTGAGTTTGAGAGGTCATTTCAAGGTTTTTTAGTAGCGCCATCGTTCTTTTCGTGAAATTTGCCGTAAGAATCAGGCATCAATTTGCAAATCTCCGCACCTTGCAACAGGCCCATTACATGCAAATGTATAGACTTTTTTATTTCTGGAAGCTGGAAATGAGATTACCTGGCTGGGATCGATCAAAAAAACAGATGACAGGGAATGCCGATACCCCAGCGGGCTGATTGTTGAAAATGATAGACAAAGGGATAGACAAAGACGACATGAGGAGTATGGAGCGATCCTATATTGGTTAAAATGGTTGGTTCCTATGGACTTAGGGAGAAAAGGTGGTCTAATTATAGGATCTCTCGTGGGTTGTCGTTAGTTAGTCTATTATCTACATTATTTGTCCATTGCAACCACCAGCTTCCACCAATAGGATCCCGCCATATCCCTTTTGTCTATAGCTTTGTCTATTTTCAACAATCAGCCCGCTACTAAGACCTCTCTACAGTATTTAAAAAACATATACGGCCCTCTTCTGAAGTACCCATAAAGGAGACCATAGAAATATCCCGTGAAAAATATCATGAAATGGGAAATCATGTGGCCTCTTTGCGTTCATGCAGCGATGCTGCCACTGTGTAATGAGGGAACCGCAAGCGGCGCAAGTGGCGCGATCTGTCGACCGCCGCAAAATTACATTCGCACCTCGACAAGTCGTCGTCTGGTCCTTATTTTTAAACGAGGTGAAAGCTCTTGCTCTTAATGAATACGGAAAATTCGCAAAACTCGTGGGTTAATTGTTTGAGAGAGCGTTTCTCTCACCAGTTTGGTTTTTTGTTGAGTACAGGGCTGAGGCAGTGTCCTTGGAAAAGCCGTTCGCGGAGAACAATTTTTTTCGGGCAAAAATCACTTATATACCCGATCATGCTCTGTTCATAGTGGGTTGCAGTGGCTGCAAATCCAAAGGTACTCAGCAGAACCGTCAGTGATCGAACTAACCGTCTCCCCCCCCCAGACGGAAGATACGCTTGACTTGTTGAGCACCAAAGGGCAGTCGCTGCTTCCCATTTTGGTAAAAATGGATGTTACTTTTTTTTTTTTTTTCTTCTTCTTTCTTTTTTTTTCTTTTTTTTAAGCAACACGAGTATTTTTAAGCTTGATGAAAAATTGTCCAAGGTACGGTTTCCTTGGTTAAGATAAATCCATTTGTGCGGGGTATTAAATAGATTGTTTAATCCAGACCGAAAATACGAGCCACTGAAAATTGCCGAAACACGCATTTCCAAAAGCTGCGGAGATAGTAAATTTTAACTACAGTCTTAAAGAATTTTAAAACGCCCGAGTATACGAAAAGCCGCCCAACAGCATCCTTCAACACGATCCAAGCGCTCGGCTTACAACGCTTTAAGACACGCTTTTCGTGGAAAATGAGCCGTAACATTACTCACACGTGTTACGAGGCGGTAAATAAATCAATGAGATTGCCTTCTGGTGGATTAATAAAGTTTTAGTATTTGTTATCATCAAATGTAGAACTTAGCTCGAGGTGTGGCAACGAGTTTCCTTCTTTTTTTCTGCTCGCTTTTCTTTTAACGTCTTCGGGAGATGTGGGTTACAGCACGGCTGTTTTCCCTCTAT